TTAGTCTAAATGCTACTTAGCAACAACTGAAAACATCAGTGTGTTATCAACATTCTTCTCATATTGAACCCAAGACATAACACTATACCAGCTACTAGGAAGGCAATAACTCTATCCCAGGCGAAACCAGGACACCATGCTGGAGGACATCAGCAGTGCTCAAGTCGACATGCTGGCTGCTCATGGGACAACGAAAGAGCAGAGGAGATGGTCCTCAACCCATGGAGCTGGCCCTACGCCCCGGCCCTTCTGCAGCTTAGACCTGCTCAGTGCAGCTGCGCCGTCATCAAGATGAGCTGGTGGGGAGCAGTTGGGGGGCTCGCAGGTCCCCTCTACCCACCCTGGTGTCCTGGGATGCCCCCTGCCCCCTGCCCCCTTCCCTGAGCCCGGCAAGGCACAGTAGAGTGCTGGGAGCTCGGGAGAAGGGGAAGCCAGAGCTGCCCCCTCAGGACTGCAGGGCTGGATCCTGGGCTCAGGAGGGGAAACCCCACTCCCAGCTGAGCCTCGAGCTGTGTCACCCTCCCAGGCTGATCCCTGAAGGGGAAATTCAGATTGTAACTGCTCAGCGGTGGGAATTTGTGAGCAAGATGGCCCAGCTGCAGAAGGGGTTGAGCTGGCTGGCGGCAGGGATGCCAGAACCGGCAGGACTCCCTGCAAGGGAATGGTGTTCCCCTTGGGGATGAGAGCAGAAACAGCCACAGCGTTGTCCTGCAGCCATCCTGGGATGCGAGTGCTCAGGGGCCGCCTTTGGGCAGCAGAGCTGGGCTGGGGGATGGACCCACAGCCAGGCTGAGGTGCCCCATGCAACTGGTCAGGGCTGGATGCTGGGGCAAGTGGCTACGAGGGGTCTCTTCATGACTCTGCAGACTCCTTGAAGAACCACTGATGGCAGCAGGACTCTGCCCAGTGCAGCGTTCATTCATTTCAATTTATATTTAAGCACAAAGGTGTTTAATTCATCTCGAGGGGTAGCATAAAAGTTCCCCACCATTTCCCATGAAGCTGCAACCCCTCAAAGGGTTGTCCCCATCCCCTGCTGCACAGCTAGCACCGGAGCTTCCATGTCACAGATGTGTGATGTCACGGCCCGTGTTCCAGCTGCAACTGCCAGTGCCCGTCGAAGAGCACAACATGGCCCTTCTTCTCCCCTGCTCCCGACGCAGCCCTTCTCCTGTGCTCCCGGTGCCTCGGACTCATGACCCAGCCCTTCTCGCCTCTCCCAGTGCCTCAGTCTCCATCTTGGTGCTGCCATCTCAGTGGCACGGTGAAGGCCTGGAGGAAGAGGACGCTTGTGCAGCCGGAGGTACAGCCCCACTCCATGGAGGAGGGCAGCCCCGCACTGCCCAGGCAGCCTGAAGCAGGCACTGCTAGGATGGCGTGGGGTGAGGGACCCCGCTCTGGGAAGCACAGGGGGCCGGGAGCTTGGCTTGCCCTTTTCAGGCATCCCTGCAAGGCCAAGCGCTGGGAGAAGTCCTTCTGGGCTGCTTATCCCCTGCTGAAATGCAGCATCCCTGCCTGGGGGGACATGTCAGCAGGGGAACCCTGAGAGCCCTGGGCTCCTGCTGGAGAGATGCTCGCAGGGAGCAGCTGGGTCCTGCCCGGAGCCTGAGCCAGTGCCTCCTCTGCCCCTTTCTAGGCTGGAGCCAAGGGAGCTCAGCCCTGCCCTCTTTGCTCCGGCAGATCCAGAGGATGTTGCCGCTTCCCAAGTTGCTGAAGTGCGTGAAGCGCAGGATCTTCCAGCTGCGGGTGCCAGCCCGTCAGTGCTGGTGGCGAAGGAGCTGCCCAGCCTCCAGCCAGCTCCCGCTGGGAACGTGCCCAGGGGCCCCATCACCCCACGGCTCTCCCCAGGCGGTGAGAGGGGGCAGGGGTGCCAAGACCCCTGTCCCACAGATCCGCTTGGCTGCCCAGGGCAGGACCAACGCACTTTTCTGCTTGGCTTTTGGCTTAGGATTTTCCACCTCGCGCTGGAGGCTGCGGAGCTGGCTGCCAGCAGCGTGGAAGTGGGGACGGAGGTAGAGATGGAGGAGGAGATGGAGGTGGACATGGGGTTGGACCCACCGGCAGCAGGACAGGCACATGCTCCCCATCCACTGCCGGCAGTCACGGTGGGTTGCCTGCCACTGGGCTGGGGCTGGTGGACCCCACTGCAGGGACACAGCACCCCGTCCCCCTGTCCTGGCAGCACAACCGCCACCACCGTGCTGCCCTGCGCTTTCTTTGGGCCGGGCAACCCAAGCCTCACCGGGTAGTGCCTGGCCCCCAGCCCCAGCCAGGG